TTCTGTGCATTACATTTCATTTTAGTGTATTTTATCCTAAACATTCTGGTTTGATAAATATTTGCACAAATACCGTGCAGCATAAAAAAATTACAACTAGCAGGTTAGGGTGACAGCCATGGAGCCTGTAGCAGTCCCGATCCGTCGGCAGCGGAAGCTGATGGTCACATATAACATATAGAAGAAGAATTACATTCCCGTGTCCTTCTTTAGAGGACAGATGACATGAACTGATATATATGTAAACAAATGTTTCCCATCCTTGCAATCTCTTTTTCATGCCTCGCTCATTTCCCTTTCAGCCGTAGCTTCGTGCTGTCCACACTCGGATTCACCACCGTGGCGTTTGTCACCGGCGCCCTGGCCCTCTGGGCCCCCTCGTACCTGGCGCGGGCACGTTTGGTACTGTGCACGGATCTGGAGAAGTGTGGCAAACCTAACTATGACGACAGGTAACATCTTCCCCCTAAATCGCATACACAAGATTTGCGGAACCAACTTAACGCCTTTTCCGTAACCCCGTCGCCTTTTCGCTTTCTTCACAGCTTCATCTTTGGCGGCATCACGGTGGTGAGCGGGCTGTTGGGTGTCGCAGCCGGCGTGGAAATTAGTAGACGTTACCGTAAAGTGAATCCTCGCAGTGACCCTCTCGTGTGTGCCTGCGGGCTTCTCAGCTCCGCCCCCTTCCTGTACCTCTCCCTGGTCTTTGCAGACAGCAACCTTGTGGCCACCTATGTAAGTTAACCCAGACAATGGGGAGAAATGATTGTAAGCTCTTTGGTCGGGGATTAGTTACTCTTCTGATACTTGTATATTATGGTGTGATCCCATGTAACAGCAAGGGTTCTGCCGCTACTAATGGTTTTATAAACTGGTCTGACTCCTAATATAGCAGAAAAAACATCATCAGAGCTTGGAAAGATTTGTCTTTGTACCTTTTATTCATATCCATTTCTCTGAGTGTTTGGTCTTCCTCCCCCTCTGCAGATATTTATATTCATCGGAGAAACTCTTCTGTCCCTGAACTGGGCCATCGTCGCTGACATCCTTCTGGTACGTGGTAGCTGCATGAGTTTGCCCTTCGTCAGTACAATGTTAACTTCAGTCCAACGCTTGCTTCAAAGTAGAACTGTGGCCAAGCTATGGGCCTTCAAGTGTCTACATAGTATTAACAAGCAGGAAATAGGTTTTAAAATAAGCCCTCACTGACCTCTGTAGCTGAAGGAGTTGTGGAGCCGTTCATCCGCAAAGTTTACATCAGAAGCAGTTTAATTTTCATTTCAGCAGCTCACCTCCTATTCCCAGCTGTGATTCAGCAGCTCAGCTTCCCCCTCCTCAACAGTAACTTGGCTTCCCTTTTCTGTTTTGAAATTTAAGGATGGATGGCTTCACAGTGCCTGCAGCTACCTAGTCTTAACAAGCAGTAAATAGGTTTTAAAATAAGCCCTCACTGACCTCTGTTGCTGAAGGCGCTGTGGAGCCGTTCATCCTCAAAAGTTTACAGCAGAAGCAGTTTCATGTTCATTTCAGCAGCTCACCTCCTATTCCCAGCTGGGATTCAGCAGCTCAGCTTCCCCTAAGTGACTTAGCAACTTGGCTTCCTTTTCTATTGCGAAATTTAAGGATGAATGGCATCACAGTGGCTGCAGCTACAGAGGTCAGTGAGGTCTTGGTTGGAAGCATGTTAAGCACATGTAGGTATGGAATTTGCATAGTTTGGTCAGAGTTCTACAAAGTCTAACTGCACCTTCTTATTGTGTAACCAAGGTGCACTTACACTTTATTGGCCAATAAGTTGGGTTGTATGGGTGAAGGGGTGTGACTTCCTGTCTCAGTGACACCTGATCAGCCTGAATAGGCTACCAGTAGACATGATGTGACAGGTGATCATACATCCTTTTATGAAAATAGCCTTCTGCGCAAACATCACCCCCTCCCCTCTCTCCGGTCTTACTGACCTCCACTTTTTCCTTCCAGTACGTGGTCATCCCCACCAGGCGTTCCACAGCCGAGGCCTTGCAGATCATGGTGTCCCACCTGCTGGGTGACGCCGGGAGCCCGTACCTCATCGGGGTGGTAAGTTAGTATCTTGATCATGTGATTCGTGAGATACGAAGCAAGATCAGCCTCACCCACTCATTTGCCTTTCTTACAACTCCAGATATCCGATGCCGTACGACGCGGTAAACCGGACTCCTCCCTCCTGAGCTTCCGCAGCCTGGAGTACGCGCTCATGCTTTGCGCGTTCGTGGGATCAATCGGTGGAGCTTTCTTCCTGGCCACTGCCCTGTTCATCGAGAAGGACCGGAAGCGGGCGGAGATGGTTTCTCAAGGTTGGTCTTACAAGTT